ATACAGTAATTCAGGGTATCACTGCTTGTTTTTTCCTTTGTGGTATGTGTATCTGGGTGTGCTTCATCATTTGTATTTTTCCATGTCTTCCAAGTTTTGGGTTTTTCTTTTTTGGTCTTTTTGAGACAGAGTCTCCCTGTAGCCCCAGCTGACCTGGAACTCACTATGTAGACCAGGCTGGCCTTGAACTCACAGAGACCCATCTGCCTCTGCCTCCCAAGTACTGGCACTACAGGCCTGCGCCACCATGCCTAGCCCAAGTTTTTTAACACTGATCAGGTACTATTTTTATAGTCAGGGAAAGAACTGAAGGGTTTTGGGTTTTGGGGGTTGTTTTTTTCTTTTGGGGGGGGCTTATTTGAAAAAATATGGCAAATGCAAAGAATAAAACAGTAATCATTTTCTCACTGCTAGAGTTGACCACTACCAACATTTGCCTATTTGCCTCCACTGTTTTTCTTTCTGACATAAAAAAGGTAATTCCCACCCCCAGATCAACAGTGGTCATCTTGAGGATGGAAGATAATGGCTGGGAGGGGTCTTTTCCCCTTCTCCCCCACCTTCTTTTGTATTTCTCAAGTTTTGGCTGAAGTAAACATTCTATCCCTTGAAAGTAAGCAAGGCTGGGGCTGGAGAGATGGCTCAGTGGTTAAGAACACTGGTTGTTCTTGCAGAAGACCTGGGTTTGAATCCCAGCAACCACATGGCAGCTAACAACTGTCTGTAACTCCAGTTCCAGGGGTCTGACAGCCTCTTAGCCTCTTCTGTCCTCCACGGGCATTGCATGACACTGGTGCACTTACCTACATGCAGGCAATACATGCATACACATAAAATAAAAATAATGAATTTAAAAAAAAAAAAAAAAGAGAAAGTAAGCATGGCTTTAGACCTGAAAACAACTGGTAATAAAGCCCTTTGGGTGGTGTGGCCATATATGCCATTTCCCTGCCCTGACAACATAAAAAAAAAAAAAAAATTCCTAGATTGAGACAGAAAATAAATGTAGAGAAACTAAGAAACAGCCATGTGGCTGAAGTAGAGTGGCTGGACTGGTTGAGTGGGAAAGAAGAATAGAGAAAAATTGAGAGGGTTTTATCAGGGCACATTGGAAAGTTCCTCCACCAAACCAAGACCTTGGGCAGGAAAGGTACAAGAGTCCTGAGCATCTTGTAGTTCAAATGAGGAGGTACTCAGAAGTACACAGGCGTGTGCACAACACTGGTGGGACTATGTCAGAAGCTCACAGGAACCAACTGTGAGAGCTGTCAGTGGCCCAAACTGAAGCAGTTTGAGTATCAAAGTAGCTTATGACCCAGAGTAGGAAGTAAGTGTCCAGGAGTCCATATTGATTGGTGGACTGAATAAGTAAATAGAGCTTAGCTCTACAGCTCCCTGGTGGCTTTCTCCTAGCCAGTGCAGCATGGAAAGAAGCAGGGGGTGGGGAGACCGCAGTGGAGAAACCTTTGAAGCACTTCCTCCATCCACAGTAGTGGGTGTGTGTCTGTAGTGTATTCTGTGAGGAGACGTGACAGGAATAGGCTTCTTAAATAAATTTTTTTATTTTTATTTATTTTTGTTTGGTTTTAGTTTGGTTTTGGTTTTTTTGAGACAGGGGTCTCACTATGAAGCCCTGGCTGGCCTGAAACTCACTATGTAGAGCAAGCTGGCCTGAAATTCACTATGTAGACCAAACTGGCCTCGAACTCAGATCTCCCTGCCTCTGCCTACCAGATGCTGGGATTAAAGATCTGTGCTACCTCACCTGGCCAAGAACAACTTTTTAAAAAGATTTATTTATTTGTGGGGGGGTGTATATGTGGGTGTCCATGCAAACCAAAGGAAGACATCAGATCTCCTAGAGCTGAGGTTACAGGTGGTTGCAAGCCACCCATTATAGGTGCTGGGACGTGAACTCAGGTTCTCTGAAAGAGCAGTAAGCACTCTTAACTGCTGAACTGTCTCTCTAGCCCCCCAGAATGGCTCTTAAGCTCTGTAATTTTCCTCCTGAAAGCTCATAACCCCAGTCTAGTTGGGAGGAAGACATCAAACAAATCCCAGGGGGTAGGAGAGGCATTCTATAAATGTCTGACATTGTACTCCTTGTCACTGTCATCAAAAACAAGGAAAATCTAGAAACTGTCAACACCAAAAGGCACCTAAGTGGACATAAGGACTAACTGTAATATGGTGACCTGGGTGGGATCCAGGTACTGAAAAGGACATTAGGAGAAACTAAGGAATTCCAAATAAAGTTCATACTTTCATATGTCATTTCTGTTTCTCAGTCATGACTAGTATACTGTACTAACACAAGATGTTAGTAAAGGGGAAACAAGATGGTGGCCTGAGAGTTACAGTACTTCACACATTTTTTTCTGAAAATATGGAACTTTTTTTTTTTTCTTTTTGAGACAGGGTCTCCCTGTAGCCCCAGCTGTCCTGGAACTCATTATGTAGACCAGGCTGGCCTCGAACTCACAAAGATCTGCCTGCCTCTGCCTCCCAAGTGCTGGGATTAAAGACATGTGCCACCACACCTGGCAAATATTTTATTATTTTTATTTTATGTGTATGAGTGTATTGCCTGCATGTAGGTAAGTGCACCCATGTCGTGCAATGCCACAGAGGACAGAAGTGCTGTCAGATCCCCTGGAACTAGAGTTACAGACAGTTGTTAGCTGCCATTTGGGTGCTGGGATTCAAACCCAGGTCTTTTGTAAGAATAACCAGTGTTCTTAACTGCTGAGCCATCTCTCCAGCCCTAATCTGGAACTTTTTTTTAAAAAAATTTATTCATTATTTTTATTTTGTGTATATGAGTGTATTGCCTGCATGTAAGTGCACCATGTCCTACAGTGCCTACGAAGGTCAGAAGAGGGTGTCAGATCCCCTGGAACTGGAGTTACAAATGGTTGTTAGCCACCATATGGGTGCTGAAATTTGAATCCAGTTCCTCTGCAAGAGCAGCCAGTGCTCCTAACTGCTATCTCTCCAGCCCCAGAAAATCTGGAACTTTTAAAATGAAAGGTTTAGAGAGACTGTGGCCCTGGAGATAACAGACACTAATTTTAGCTTCCATGGTTGTGGTCTGTAGTAACCAGACTCCCAAGGCCAGACTTCTTCAGGATTCTCATCTTGCCCCCTTATGCTCTTGGGATTCAGATCCCTTGTTCGGTAGGCAGATGCTATCTGTTTCAGCTCTATGGTTTCATAGTTGAAACTGGGTTCCAGAGAGACTGATTATTTCCAGTGGGGCCCAGACCAGGTCTTCCACCTTCTGGTTAGAGCTTTTCTTGCTGCAACCTCCTTTCCACAGAGCCCAAGCCATCTAAGTGCCTAAAATGCCTCCAAGGACCTTATTTTCACTGTCTCTAAAGTGGTCCTCAAGGGCAGTGGTTCACCAGCCATCATCTCTGGTCTCCAGTCATGGGCAAAATGACGGGGACTGGGATAGAAAACCTAGCTCTCCTTGAGCCTTTCCTCTATAGGTTTGAGAAAGAGAAGCAAGAATTTCATTTTTTTCCCCCTTTTCAGTTCCATAGCGTACCTTTCCTTTCTGATAATTATATAGCCCAAGATTCTTTGTTTACAGAAGCCACTTGAGTCAGCCAGCCCCCAAAGGGTTAACGCTCCCAAATTATGGGGCTGGGTTAACAATAAACAGGATGTCCTCCAGAAATTAAATTTAAACCGCTGTGACTCAGGCCAGCCCATCCCCTCTACCAGATCGCTGTCTGGGGTTATTATCGGTGGTTAATTATACCGTTGGGGTTAGCTGCAATGTTGGTCAGCTTGGGCCAAGTGGAAGCAGGTTTAGAAGAGCTGAAGGGAGGGATGGGAGTGGAGCCCAGGGTTGGTCCGGGCAGTGTTGGCAACATTGGCCCAGGAGCCAAGAGGAGCGCACTGAGAGAGGCTGGGGCCCCTTCCTGGCTCTGGTCCCAGAGTTGGCTCACTTCCTACCTGGGGGCAGGACAGGTTGGGGAGATACATTACCGTTTCTGTCACTACTGGGATGGACCATGTCAGTGTTATCACCTCTATCACCTGACCACCAACGTGGACCAGCAGGGTCTTGAACTCATAGACTTGTCAGTACCTAGAAGAAACCTCTCAGTTGCTTGGTTTAATCTACTCACTATTGAAAGCAGGAAAGTCCCAGAACAGCAGCTCCTGCCAAAGGGCAGCCTGCTGGGGAAGGTGACAGCTCCACTGTGCTCCACTGCTGAGTCCTGGCCCCTTGATCTCTCTGTTAGGCTTAGCTTTTTTTTTTTTTTTTTTCCTCTCCTGTAGACCCAGCTGGCCTGGAACTTACTATGTAGACTAGGCTGACCTCAATCTCACAGAACTGTGCCTTGCCCCTGCCTCCCAAGTGCTGGGATTAAAGGCATGTGCCCCTACGCCTGCTGTAGGCTTGGCTTCTTATAGGTAAATGTGGCAGACAGAGCTTCTCCACAAGTTCAAGTCAGATTCTTCACCAAGTTACCCACTTTTAGTCTTGCTAGGCTCTGACCAGTTGTAAATGTGATCTGTCAACCTCCCAAGAAGCCCTGAAAATTCACAGCATGGCACCCTATGGGGAAACTGAGCAGTTACAGAGGACGAGAGATATTTATGGGGTTTTTAAGACATGTTTACAAGAATGCTGTTAGAGTGAACCGTATTTCTCACTTTGCAGTTCCTCAAACAAAACACAAAGATTATAGTTCCTCAAAGTGTCGCCCTTTGCTTCCCCTACTTTTTCATTGTATTTAAGTGACAGAGTTCATAGGAAAGCTGCTATGGGTAGGAGGTAGTGCCCAAGACCCTGCACAGAACGTGGTCTGTTCCAGAATCAAAGTGGGTGCTGTTGGCTCATATCTGAGGGACACAAGGACTGGAGTCGAATACTGATCCCAACTTGCCTCACTGTACTGGGGCAGAAGAGCCACACTGCATCCATTCCTTCAGCCTAGCTTTCCCCGTTTTTCAGAGCATCCCTCTGTCTCTCCCTCTTACAGGATTCCTTTCAAGATTGGGCAGCCCAAGAAACAGATTGTTCCCAAAACAGTGAGTAACCCGATTCTTATGCTCTGAGATTCAGCTGTGCTTCACACGGCCTCTGCATAGAACCTTTTGTTTTGTTTTGTTTTATTTTGCTTTGCTTTGTTTTGTTTTTTTCTTTTCTTAATACTGGAGATTGAACCCAGGACCTTGTGCATGCTAGACAAACACACTACCTCTGAGCTACATTCCCAGGCCAGAACCTGTACTTTGATGCAACATATCTTTGGACTGGAGGGTCAGGACCCTGGCCCTTCTTCCCAGTCCTATGACTCTAGAACACAGTGCCCACAGGGGCCTCTGTTCTGGGTTCTCTTGGTTGCTTCCCAGCCTTTGGACAGGTGTCAGTGATCTGCATCTGAGCAGCCCTGTTCCTGAGGGAGTTCTGGAACACACCTCTCTTCCCCTTATGCAACACCAAGACAAGACCCAAGGCCATTATTTCTGGCCACCTCAATAACATAAAAGACCAGGCCTCTTCTCCAGGTGTCCCTGATCCCTTCTTCTGCACAGCTGTGCTCTCTTCTATGGCCCAGTCCCTCCATGGAGGGGATGGTAACTCCTATCCACTTTTGAGCCTGTGATATTGATCCCTATTTTATGTCTGGAATGGAAGAGGAAGAACCATGGATTCCTAGCATGGTGGAGCTATACGCCCATGGAGCTTATCTGGCTTCACTGCCTGATTTTTTCCAGATGAGGCAAACAAGGCTGTGGAGTAGTGGAGACATTGTTAGGGCTGAACCCCTCCTGGAACGAGGACTCAGGTCCATGGCTCTGACCACTCCTCCTCTGCGCTTTGTTCTGCTCTAGCTATGCAGACTTCCAAAAAGATACAGACAGCCCCTTCAGCCCCTCACCTCAAGCAAGGCCTTGGGTTTTAACATAAGTAAGTACATACCCAGAGACATACTGTCTTGTAACAGTTCCAAGTCCAGCACTGTCCACAGAGTACAGGCCCTTGTCCCTATGCTTTGAGTCCCCAAGAGTTCTCATCTAGCTTCTTCCGTCCTTGACTCAGCTGTGAGAGCTATAGGAAAGATCCCACTTCAGTCTGGCAGGAAGTCCAGCACACATCTGACCAATGTCTCCATCTTTGGCAAATCCAAAGTGAGGTCACATTAAAAGAACTGGGCTCAATTTAAAAGAGTAGTCTTCTGCCTCATGCAAAGGCACAGGGAACAGACACAGCGTCGCCTCCATGCCCAAGTTGACCATATGTGGAGGCTCTGGCCTGAATCCCAGGGAGTCTGGGTGTGCAAATGCTGAGTTCCAGCTGCCTCCAAGAAGTGGGAAGGAGTGGTTTTGAACCTCCAGAGAGTAATCCACAGCAGATCCAAAAGGGAAGTAGTTTGGAGTGTGATCTTTTTTCCCCATTGCTCACAAGCAAAAAGACAAAAATCCCTCCCTCCACGACTCCCTTGGATGGCTTTTGTTCCCTACATAGCGGTTAATGGATGGACTACAATGCGGTTTCCAGTTTCTTGCTAGGGTCTGTTGGTGGAAACGTCTTGGGTCTTGTGTTTTTCTTAAAGGGGAAGAATTATTTATTTTGACTTAACAGTTTCAGAGGTGTCATCGTGGTGGGTGATCGTAGATCTTTCACTCTGAAGCGTAGCAAAGATTCCCTGGGAAGAACAGATATCCCATGGCTTCCCTTGTCTCTTCCCCGTGTCTGTCTATCTTCTTGCCATAGAATTGGTCATCCTTTAGTCTGTGGTATCCACTCCCCCACATCACGCAGGTATCCAGTAGTGGTTAAGGAGCCAGGTTCAGGAGACTCTCTGCTAGCTCTGCCAGGTGCTCTCTGACTTTGGGCACATAGCTTAGCATGCTTTAGCTTCTCTGAGCCTTAGCTCTCTCATGTGTAAGGTGAGGGTGACCACAGTACACACACCAAATAAGCAGGAAGGGCCTCACACAAACCAGTGCATATAAGACAGTCCAGTATCTGGTCCCTCACTGACAGCCTCTATGTTAGGAAGCCAGCCTATTCGGCATCCTTCAAAGCCATCAAGGATTCAGCTTGGCCCAGCAGCTCTATTCCCCAGTGTAGTGAAGTCGTGGGCTATGCCTTTGATCTTTCACCAGCAATCAAAGCCAAAGTATGGCTTGGAATGGAGCTGTTTGCATGCTCAACCTATTCCCTGCAGCTCCCTAGGGTGCTGAAGCATTGGTAGCAAGATTCTGCCTCTTGCAGTCAGTTCTCCCTCAGCCCTCCAGCCCCAGAACAGGCCTGGGCTCTGCACTTGTCTCAGAATCTCTGGCAGCTGCCTTTGGATGGTGGTGACGCACTCTGGGACAGGACCAGATATGGCCACCCGGGTTATTAGAAGTCATGGCACCCCTGTCATGGGAAGAAATGCTCATGTTATCTCCAGGGAGTTGCAGAAGGTTTCTGGCTCAAGGCCCCCAGCTGCCAGCCACAGAGAAAGCATTGTCTTTGCTCTCACCACTTGCCTGTGCCCAGGTTACCAATGTGCATTCCATACTTGCCAAAGCTGGAATGTTCTCTGCATGGCTGACCATTGGCACTACAGTAAATGGAAGTACAACAGCTCCCCACCCCTCAGTCCAACCTTCTGTTAGTCTCCCTGGTATCCCTAGATCTTGTAAGGTGGCCAGAGCAACTTAGCATGTGTAAAGAACACACACACACACACACACACACACACACACACAAACCCCTAGCTCAGATTGGTAGAGGAACTCTTGGAAACATTGCTTCCCATGGCCCTCCAGGCAAGGGTTCCCTAGGTCTTGTGCACATAAGAAAACGCAAGCCAAAATTGTGAGCTAGGTAGGTGCCTTATAAAACCTGGGCAAAGACAAATCGCCACAGTGAGCCTCTGAAACTGGAGAAAGATTTCACATGCCCATTAGAGAGTCTGGCATTCCTAAATCTCCTTCGCTGCGGAGTGTACTGAAAGGAGGTGCTGTCCGTCCTTAGTATCCCTTGCACAGCAGCTCTCAGAATGCATCCTCCACCTCTCTCTGACCTGACACGCCTTAGCTAGCCCTGGCATCAGGGCCCCAGCCCTGCCTGTGGCCTCCTTTAACCCTCCACCAGGAATTTGAGTTTGGAAGAGACCCAGCCAGTTTACTCAGCAAGTGTTGAGCTCCTGCTGTATGCCACAGCTGGCCTAGGCACTGCCCTTGCACCCTGAGCCCAGGAGAATACAGGGATTATCATGTGGGGCTTGAGTTTCCCTGTGCTAACCTTGCCAGCCTGGCCCAACCCAATCCCCTGACAGTCCATGCACATGTGTTTACACTTGCATTGTTGACTGGGCTCCAGTTGCCTTTTTGGCAGAGGCATCAAGCATTCAAAACTGTTCAGATCTTTTCCACTTGGCTCTTTCCCTCAGAAGACATACACCTTGGAATGTGACTCCAATGTGTCCCTTTATTCCATCAGCCATGGTCTGAGGGCCTGGAATTCTGGTCCTACCCCAAGTAGGTCTGTCCTCTGGGGAGAAAGATGTAGGCCCTGGGAGCCATAGCAGCAGTCCACCCCTGGCTCCTGGAAGCAGGGGAGGTGCTGCGCTTCCCACCTCCCCTCAGGCTTTCAGGCAGCCTTGAACAGCACCAAGCAGAAGGATCACACACACACACACCCCAACCCCAACGTGCTTCTGTTTCCAGCATGAGACCATGAGCTTCTCTTCCCCCAGAACAATCCCGCCTGGCTGGGAACCTGAAGGCCCCTCAGTACAAGTCCAAGCAGTCCCCAGCCAGGCAGACCAGGTGTTCTCTGACATCCCACACACATCAGCACTCGGGCATTGCAAAAGAGAAGGCAGAGAGCCAAAGGTGGCAGCGCAGGGCTCAGCAGCCCCCACCACCCCAGGAGAACAGCACCTAGGGAAGTCTCCAGCAAAGCCCGACTCTGGCCATGAAACACTGTTTTCACTTTGTCCTTTTGGAAATAAAGGCTTTAATATGTAAAAACACCACTCAACTGGCACATCATCTGGGTTATGAAGGGGGCCACAGTAGCATGGTAATGCCCAGACCAGGGTTCAGCATTTAGCCAAAGCAGTACTTACCTGGCTGCTGAGAGGTTGACGGCCCTGTCTGCATCCCCAGGCCACCATGGCCCGCCATTGCCCAATGAGCAGGAAAGGAACATAGATACACACTCTATAAGCACCACCATGGGCCAGGCACCTGGCCACGTGTTATACTGGCCCTGAGCAGGGGAGCCACTGAAGCCAGAGGAACAACCCAGTGAAACCACTCTACTTTACCAGAGAAGGCAGTGAGCTCAGTATGCTGGGAGCTATGAATGTTCTGCAGCTAGTGTCAGAGTCCACATCTCCCCTATCTGTCCATTCCTCCAAACTTCCTCCACCACCTGCTAGAAGACTTATAACACAATGTTTTCATCCACAGAGTTCACTTTCAAGAACCGTACAATCGAGTTAGAAAAAAAATGCAGCCCAACCAGATGGCTCAGTGGGTAAAAGCACTTGCCATGCAGGCCTGATGGCCTTCAATTCCCAAAACCCACAGTGGAAGGAGAGAGCCAGTTCCTGAAAGTTGTCCTCTGACTTCATGCACACACTGTGGCATGTGCACAGTGGTACACACACACCCACATTCATACATGTGCAATGCACATGCACACACACAATAATGAAAAAATCTTAAATCACAAAACATTTCATAATGGTGAAAATTTACGATATGTGTTGGGCAGCCTTGATAGCCATCCTTGCCCTCATGCAGGCCACGGGTTGGATACCCCTGGAAGTGCAGGCTCTAAAGGACCCAAGTAGGGCCCCTTCACTCCAAACCTCCTGCCTACCAGGTCTCTCATACCCCAAACCCAACAAGCAGATAGGGCCTATGAGGAAACTGAGGCCTCTCAGCTCGTGCTGGGAGGATGCAGAACCATCCTACTCCAGGCTCGCCTCTTCCTTGGTGCCCTGCTGTCTCCTGGGTAGGTCTGGTCACATTCAGAGCACCATGAGTGCCGGCAGTGTTGGGATAAGGAAAGGGCAACAACCCAGTGCCTCTCCCTGCAGTGACAGAACAGAGGCATAATCCACTGAGGCTTGCCAACTTGCCTGGTTGGACCCTCTGGGAAGAGAGGCCTTCTCCCCAAATCAAACACTTCGTTAATTTGGGAACACAGGGACACTGTTGTTAATGATCTGCTGGAGCTTGTAGGAACTGGACGGCAGCATTGTTTACCGCTGGCTCGGGGGAGGGTGTGGAGCTGAGTCTCGGTAGCCTGGGAGAGTTTTTCCATCATGTTGTCATTACCCTGTTGATTGAGCTCTCTCTTTCTTACAGGTGGAGAGAGACTTTGAAAGGGAGTATGGAAAACTCCAGCAGTGAGTGTCAAACCCCAGAAGGGTGAGATGGGAGGTGGCCAGGCACATGCTTCCTGCCAGGTCTCACTCCCTGCCCTGCCACATCTCCTCTTGGCCAGGCCAGGCTTAGCTGGGGAGCCTTACCTGTGTCCTTTGCTCATGTATAACTCTAAACTGAGGGCAGTTCAAGCCACCAAGCCGCCAGCTCTCCTTCAGCAGATGGCTGGTTATAGGAGGATCCTTAATGCCTAGGCTCTGGGTGCTTGGCCTCCTGCAGATCCTGAGGTGGCACCATGGTCTGTGGGTCTTCCCTCCTTCCCTTCTGGGCTTACCTGAGGTGGAAGGGCAGAGAGGCCCGGGTGCCTCAAGGTCGGGTGCCTCAAGGTCAGGTGCCCACCCTGCCCTTGCTTTGCAGGCTGGAAGAACAAACCAGGCGCCTGCAGAAGGACATGAAGAAAAGTACCGATGCCGACCTGGGTAAGTGGCAGCGTCCTGTGACTGGAAGCATGGAATGTCATGCTCCCTTAACCCCTCCAGGGCTAACTCAAAAGTTGCTGTACTTAGAAAACACCAAGTACTGGGGCTGGAGAGATGGCTCAGTTAACTGGTTAAGAACACACACTGCTCTTGCAGAGGACCTGAGTTCAATTCCCAGTACCCATATCAGGTGGCTCACAGCTGCCTGTAACTCCAGCTCTAGGGGCATGAGATGCCTTTGGCCTTCATGAACAGGTGCACATACCTACACACAGATATACAAACACATGATTTAAAATAAAAATGAAATATTTTAGAAAGAAAGAACTAAACATTGTTCCTACCAAGAGGCTGGGTCACTCCCTGGTCAAATCACTTCCCACAGGGTCCTGCCACCCTCCTGTTTAGTGGGCCTGGGAGCAAGTGCTCCTGGGTTCCTGTTAGGATAGTATAATGACCAAGAAAAGCTTCTAGTTGCAGATACCTCCCCTGCCTCAGCATCAGGGCCAGAGAGAAAGGCAACATACCTCTCAGGAAGCAGACTTGAGTGACAGAGAATAGAGGAAAGCATTCCCCTTACTGTCCCCACTAAGCACTGGCCCAGCAGTTAGTCTCTAACCCAACACTGCCCCCTAACCTCAGTGTGCCTTGTCTGGAAAACTCTCGCATTGCTGAGCCCCAGACCTGTGGCTGGTTGTCGTGGTAAAGTGTGTTGGTGTGAAACATTGAGAATAACATGGTTGCTCTCTGGCCATGTGGGCCTCAGCAGCTTCCAGAGGGATGTGTCTACATGTCACTTTAGAATGGGGACCTCAGAAAAGTGGGTTTGGCCAGGGTATCCCACTGTCTCTCACTTGACAAATGCTGACTGAGAACCAACTTGTGCCAGACATACCTCTCTAAGGATTCAACACTGAAACAGCACAGGAGCTTCCATCCTAGGAGACACTGTGTGCAAGAAATGAGTAAATACATATTATGACACCGTGTAACAGCCAGCACTGTGGTGGGGAACAGCAAGAATGGAGAGTGTCGGTGCTGCTTTCGGTGGAATGAACAGGAAGCCTCTCCCAGGATGTGTCCCTTGTGTACCTGAGGGGATGAGGGAGTGCTCTGCAGATGTGCCTGGGAAGACATTGCCTCAAGTAGAGGTCAACAAGTGCAAAGGCCCTGAGGTAGACTTCAACTTTGCCCCAGTGGCTGTGCTCAGTGACCCAAAATGCAGTAGTAAGATTAAGGACCCATGTTTGGTGCATTCATCTGTACCCCCCACATAATGATGCTCTATGGTCACAAAGCACTTGAGCAGCTTCCAAAGAAATTCTACCTTCACGTCTTCTGATGTTAAGAGTGGCAGGGTACGTGAAATGTCCATTTTATGGGGGTAAATTATTTTGTTCAGTTGTCTATCTTGGGCCAGAAAAGCCTGCCCACTTGTTGCTTGACTGCTGTCAGTGGGAAGGCAGCTGAGCGAGTCCTCCCTGCAGTAACTGGCCCAGCTCCATGTTGACCTGGCTGCCTCATGAATAGAGTCCAAATCACGGGCAGCATTATGGTCTCCAGGTGCCATTCAGAAGGTCACCGTGCAGTGGACAGCTCAGGGTGGGGGTGAGGGGACCCACCTTGGTGACAAAACAAAGCACACCATCTCTAAGCCCCCACAGATCAAAGCCTGGGGTTTTTCCCTGTTTGTCCAGGTCTTAGGACTCAGACAGTTGCTTATGCCTGCTTCTTTCCTGCAAAGGGCACTTGGAAAGGCTAGTGGTGACCAGAAGGAGAAACACTTTCCCTGGGAGCAGCCGCTGCTGCCACAGCCCAGGCAGAGCTGCCCACCCATGCTTGGAAGGCCAGCCCCTTTGGTCTGTGCCCCAGAGCCTCATGCTCCTGCCAGCCCTGAGGACATGGGCTGGTCTAAACACAACTCACACCTCACTCCTGGCTCCTCATGTCTCCTAAGTAGGCATATCCTGAGCCAGGGGTCAGGTCCTGGAGCTGCTCTGGTTGATGTATTTCAGATCTGGCTGGATGGTCTTTGTCTCTGTCGCTCCCTACTGCCTTCCAGCGAGTTACTATGCTACTTCCCCTTCCTCCTTAGACAGCTATTCTGTCAGAGTAGGAATGCAGTGCAGGCTTTTGTTTTCATAGTGACTCACTGGAGCCAAGTTAGACATCAGGAGTCTATGAGGAAGAGGCCTAAATGTCCAGAAGAAAATCTGGGACAGAAAGGGGTCTCCTGAGGCTGAGGATCATTGGTCCCCAGTAAGAAGAAGGGCACCCCTCTGTAGAGCACCTTCTTCAAGTGCACATGTTCTACACCAGGGGTCTTACACATGGCTGACAACAGGTTCACTGGTGGGCTGGTGACAGCATAGGATACTGTGTCTGACCTCAGCATCTGGTTCATCAGATCCAGGGCAAAGCCTGAAAATGCATGTCTGATACATTCCCAGGTGACACTGGTACAGTGAATCCAGGGAAACACTGAGAGCCACCAACCTGACAGTTAAAATGGATTCTCCCAGGCTCCTGGGACAGGATCTAAAATCCCAGCTGATGTTCTGAAAAGATGATCTTTCATTAAGAAAAATTACATGACTTTCACAGTTTTCAGAGTGATCAGTTTCTGAGGACTCTTCTGAACATCATCTAGAAGCTGCATTGGGACCCCAAAGATCAAAGGGGCATAAGACCCTCACTTTCTCTGTGATTCAAAGACTGTCAGTCTCTAGGGCTATTATCAAGCCATGAACCTCCACCCAGTCCCTGAAGGGGCAGAAAGGGTGTGACTTGGGACAGGGATTTAGGGCATTCTGGATATGTTGGGTTGGGTTCCAGACCCAGTAGTGCCCAGAGCAGTAGCCCAGGCAGATGCCATACACTGGCTTCATGTGGTCTCAGCAAAGGCCTGAGGATTTGAGGGCATTAGGAGAGGTGGGAAGAAAGCTTTCCATCTTTCAATGACTGTTGGGATTTTCTTTTTCATCAAACATTAAGGGAAAAAAAAAACAAACAATAGAAGACGTTTTTCAGAAATGTTTCCTGTTTTGCGTGGGTTTTTATTATCTTTTGACTACTCTGTATGTGATTATTTCATAATCAAATCATGCATGCTGTTTGTTCCTCAACCTACAAAGTCACTCAGAGATTTCCAAAAGTGTTTCTTCCTCCATTGCTTCAACATTTCTGGCAAGCTCACCTTTCCAATCTTCTCCCACAGTTGATCCCTTTTGCTGAGTGGCTGCAGCCCTCTTAGCCTCCATGGCAGGCTGGGCAGGCCCTTGGGCACAGCCTCTTATGGGCACAGGATGACCTTCTGGTGAGATATGGGATTCTCCTCTCCCACATTGGAAAGACAGGCCCTTCCTCAGGGAGCCGGGGCTGGGCTTAGGCTGTTTGTTCCCTACATGGTGACATGCCTTTAATCCCAGCACTTGGGAGGCAGAGGCAGGCGTATCTTTGTGAGTTCAAGGCCAGCCTGGTCTACATAGTAAGTTCCAGGACAGCTGGGGAGACCCTGTCTCAAAAAGACCAAAAAAAAAAAAACCTTTCTTCTGCTCTGAGACTCAGCCAGATGTACTCAGAAACTGGTATGGACAGTAGCTAGCCAGGCTACTCTGCCCACTCCTCTACAAGTTGGTATACAATAATGGAGAACTGAAAAGGAGAACAGGACCAAGAACCCCAAAGCCACCAACAAATCTCCTTCCTGCTCTGAACTATGTGATTTCTATATACCTCACAACACCCGAAGTATTTATCCTCTGTCCCTTTCCAGTAAACTAGAGAACACAGAGTCCCAAGAGGCCTGCACACCCAAGATAGAGGTTCTTGTTCCAGATTTATTGACCTAGTCTCTTTGGCTCCAGAAAGAGCTATGTGTTACATAGCTTCCCACCCAAATGGTCCTAGTACAACCCAGAAGTTTTGTTGCCCATGTGTTACAGTGTTAAATGGCCAGTAGTGATGGGAAACTCCAAGGGCCATGTTATGTGACTTTGGAACTTCATTACTTTGGTAGCCATGGCACAGGCAGAGGTGGTCAGATCAGATCCCTGGGTGAGGGGAGGACAGGGAGCACTAAAGAAAACTTTGACCCTGTCTTTCTGGAAACTCATGGAGCTTTTAATGTCTTATAGCCATGTCAAAATCTGCTGTGAAGATCTCTCTGGACCTACTCTCCAACCCCCTCTGTGAACAGGACCAGGACTTTCTGAACATGGTGACAGCCCTAGACACAGCCATGAAGCGGATGGATGCCTTCAACCAGGAGAAGGTGACTGGGTCTTTTTGCTGGTGACTAGTGCTCTTCCTCCTCCCCTTTCTGGGCCCATCTGCTTACAGTGCTCACAAGTCTTAAGCAGGGTTGAGCCTGGCATGGTGGTGCACACCTTTAGTCCCAGCACTCGGAGAGGTAGAGGCAGGTGGATCTCTGTGAGTTCAAGCCAGCCTAGTCTACATAATGAGTGCCAGGGCAGCTAAGGCTACAGGGAGACACTGTCTCAAAAAGACCAAAAAAAAAAAAAGCAGGATTGTATCCTTTCCTGAGGCTGCTTAACCCCCTGAGGCTTATTAGCCTCCAGTCTGTAACCAGCTTTTCCCAAACCAGGCTGGTCAACTGCCCACATCTCCTGTGGGGCATATCACTAAGGAACCACGGAGAGGCCAGAAGGGTGCTCACAGCAGCTGTGTTCAGCAGGGCATCTCTACCTACCTAGCCGTCCACACTGAGCAAGGCCTTTAAAAACCTGTACTAACAGCACTGACTGGACAAACCTGATGGAAGAACAGGCATGACCCTCAGATCTGCCTGGCCTCTCTACCTCCCCCAGCAGCAGAATGAGGATACTGCCCTGCCTGTCTTACCGTGATACCCTCATGCCAGGCCCTGCCAGGACTCTCTCTTCAGAGGTGTCTACTCTATATCCTGCATCTACAGCTCCCACTGCTAGCATGGCAGTGATCCCAGCCCTTGCCAGAAATAGCTGCATTTTAGCAGAGGACTTCTCTTCCTGCTCTGAAGACCCAACAAATCACACCAGCCAAACCTTGCAGGAGCTTGCATATAGACATGGAGGTTCAATCCCTTGTGGACATTTACTGGCTACTGATGCCCTAAAGTCCATTCTGCCTCTTTATTTTTTTTTATTTATTTATTTATTTTTTTGGTCTTTTTGAGACAGGGTCTCCCTGTAGCCACTATGTAGACCAGGCTGGCCTTGAACTCACAGAGATCTGTCTGCCTCTGCCTCCTGAGTGCTGGGATTAAAGGTGTGTGCCACCATACCCGGCATGATGCCTCCTCTAAGAAAGGTCTGTCTCCCCCAGTTTTTACATCATTGGGTTTTTCTTTTGACAGGTGAACCAGATTCAAAAGACAGTGATTGAACCCTTGAAAAAGTGAGTAAAGGATATCCAAGGACGGGGGCCTCAGGGCACCTATGGGAAAGCCAGATTAGTTGGCCACTTAGGGACCAAGGAGCACATCTAGTAGCTTGTCCCGTTTCCCATGATGGAGAACAAGGACACCAGTCACGCAGTCTGGCCCTGGGTTAAGGCTTCTGATAGCTCCAAGGCACTGGCACTACCTAGACACACTCTGTGGGGTCAGGGAACTATCGATGACCACAGTGCCAGACACTGCCCTGGTGGTCGTTTGGCCCCTTCCCTTTTCTTTTCGCCAGTTCCCGAGGGGCCAGGGCTGGCTGATTTCAGCTAGCAGAGATCCTGGCCAGTCCTCCACGGACATGAGCAAGGCCTTTCATCTCACAGCCGAACTGGGATGCAGCTGCCTACAGCATTCTGCTTTGGAAGTGTGGGGGTGGCTGCACATGGAGAGGGGTGCAGCAGCAGAGGCCTGTCTGGGAAGGTCCCCTCACCCGTGACCTGAGAGAGCCAGGAATTCTTCTGTGAGACTGATCTTTGGTCCACAAGGCCCTGGTCAGGGATCAGTCAGGCTTGTCCCCTGGGTCCCCAGGGGGAGGAGGCTGGCCCAAGCCTTGCCTTGAAGCTCCTGAGTGCTTCCTCTCTCCTGGCCTCTCCCATCCTGCTCTGACCTAGAAAGGCTCCAGCTCCGGCTCTGGCCCACCAGCTGCACTTTATTACCTCTTCTGTGGTGGTCCTTGGCAGTTGCCTTGCCAGGCCTGGGTAATGAACCTCTGCTTCATTATCATTAGACCAGGATCTGGCTGGAGGGAAATGAAGAGAGCAGTTTTTGATCCTGCAGTCCTTGGTGTCCAAGAGTGTTGAGTTATTCCTTCCCTGTTCAGGCTCTGGAGTAGGTTAGGACAATGCCCTTCTAGCCTCGCTAGTGCTTCTTGCCTACACTGGACCTGAAGAGCACCAGCAGCTGCCACAAGGCCGAGCCTGGCCCAGGAAGGACTTTATCCTGCCTCATGCCTGCCACCCCAGCCTCCTCAGCTTGGGCCCTGCCACCCCTGGCTCCTGGTCAGAGCTCATCCCCACATCATAGGAACCCCCCCATTGGGACCTGGGTCACAGAAGGAGGCAATCAGTTGGCCTGGTCTCCAGGACAGGTTCAGAACTGGGTGGAAGGATTGCAGGCAGATGAGCCTCTGCACACAAAGGACTCTTGTATGCCAGGGGTCCAGAAGTAGCCACAAGTACCCAGAGTTGGCAGACAGAAGTAGGAGCACCAGCTCAGAGAACTAGGGGGTTGACTTGATTCTCGATTTCACAACCAACGAGGCGGCATTGAAATCGGATCCCTGGCTTCTGCAGCCAAGTAGAGAGAAACCCAGGCTGCTTTCCACCATGCTAGCAGCCCACCACCTGCCAGGAAGGTGGGGGCGTGGCAGAGGGGGCGGCCACCATCTCCGCCATGGATCCGCTGACCTCTGTGTGAGCCTGGGGCCTGGCTGGCTGGCTGGCTTCTGCAGCCCGCAGCCAGCATGCGATCTCCCATGACCACATAAACCACCACTGCCTGTCGCTTCCTTGTGCCAGGAGTGAAGCTTCTAGGGACCCCAGCACCGGAAACAGGAAACTGCTGCTTTCCTGTCCTCTGATGAGGACCATGGCCACATGGCCACCCTGCCTCCCCCAGCCTCCCCCAAAGGGGGCTCAGCCTCTAATCCCCCAGTCCCTGGGCTGTTCACATCGGATGGGGATGCTTTCAATTTCCCTTTCCTGGTGGGTGGAAGATCCCGGCTGTGTGGGCACAGATGAGGAATGGCAGGCATTCCCCACCAGGCCGGCTGCTCCCAGCCCACCTCCCAGCAGGCCCCTTTCCCTCTCTGCTCTCTCCTCACCCCACGCTTTGCCTCCCTAAGGAGCTAGCTTGGTGATAACCTTAAGTCAGGCAAGACATGGGTACCTCCTAGGTTGATCTTCATGAGGGCCTGGTGTGGGCCCAGCCCCACCTCTCTTCTTTGTATATCAGACCTAGGCACTTAACACCTCAGACTGAAGATGGGAAAGTGGACCAGGTACATGTGCACTGCTATATTGAGCAAGGAAGGTGTCCTAGCCACCCCTGCTGACCAAAGTCTGTTTCCTCTACAGAAAGAAAGCCAAACCGACTCCTTGATGTAATAGAATTGGTGCCTAGGAGCAGGGCAGCAGGGCTGGGTGAGCTAAGTGGACAGGAGATGTGGTTTAAACAGGGCAGGGAACAGAGTGTGGCCCATCTCTCACCACTGTATATCAAGGGGCAGCTGAGACTAGCAGAGGCTCTGACTCCTTGGCCTTGTTTCTTGCGGCAAACTTTGTGCCTTGAGGGTTGGGCCCCTGTGTCATTCTTGAGAGGTCAGCAGGGACCTTAGGCAGTCCCATGAGCATGTCTGCGGAGAGGTCCTAACACAGGACCAGCATCTGCCTGTCTTCAGCCTCTGAGCCAGCACCCAAACCCATCACCAATCCACATCTGGGCCCCTGCTGTCCATGGCTAAGAAATAGAAAATGAGAAGACATACTCAGTGGGACCCTGAGCAGAAATTCAGCTACCTCAGGATAGGCTGTACTCTTCCTCTGACTGACATTAGTAGCACCCTCAGATGAAGAGCACGACACCTGTCTCTTGCCCCAGGAAATCCCTATCCCAGGCCCAGGCTACCCAGATGGCCCTTTGTTAGTGATTCATCTACCGTGGCCTGAGCCAGCTGAGCCTTCCGTGACCTCTCAGTTTGACTGAGCGGTGCTGCTGTAGAAGACACGGTCTAGGGATGACCTGGAGTCCCTGAAGAGCCAGGAACCACTAGCAAAGCCACAGGACCAGTTGCCCCTACAGAGGATAATGGTCTTCGTTCCTGAAGCCTGCAGAAGACCCTGTGCTATTCAGTAGTGACATGTAAATGCCACCCCCCAACCAAGGCTGTAAAATCCTGGTCTGTGGCAGCCTCGCCCCCCAGCTCTGCATTTCCCCTGTGTGTGTTGTGTCTCATGAGCTGGCCAGGTCCTGCCACCGGGCACCTGGTAGGTGTGACTTGGTCTTGAAAATGACAGCCATGGAAAGGGACTGGGACCATGGACTCAGGTCCAAGAGCTGCTGAGACCAGCATATATCCAGGGCTGCATAACCAGCTAGCACTACACCAAGGCTGTGTCAGACCTGTGGGGTGCACCTCACAATCCAGCTTCCTTCCTCGTGATGCCCTTTCCCTAGGAGGTGAGCGCCAATGAAGAGATTCTGGCCAGGGCAGTAAAGTGCTCCACCTGCTGCCTTCCCTCCAGGCTCTCATTCTCGTCCTGTCTGTCACTGGCACTAAGGCCACCCAAGCAGCAGGTTGCTTCTGACAAAAGGATCAGGCAGCTGTTGGGACCCCTTGTCCTCTCAGGGTGGAGGGAAGGGCAGTATGGAAGCTTCTCAGGCCTGAGGCACCTGTTCACTTGGGCCACACACTGCTCAGCTGCCCAGGAAGGGAGCAGGGCTCCAGAGCAGCTGAAACTCCATCACCAGCTGCCTTCACATAGGCATCATGACTGGTACCCTCTGATGGCATTGCTTCTTCACTCCATAGGACACCATATGTCCTGGTGGTGCCTGGTCCTCACATCCCATTTGCACTGTCAAAGCAGTTCATCACATCTTGGTTTGGTTCTCTGAGGGTCCAGAGAAGTTCTGGTAGCCATGGCCCATTAGCATTTTCAGAAAAGCTATAAACCTGTCATGGACACTTAAGTTACAGGGACTGGTCTTAGTGGCCTTTGAGAAAAAAAACCTTTCATTTCACCAAGATCTGCTCTTTGGATCTGTGACTTGCTTGGGCGCTTAATACTTGGCCAGGTTTATATTCTCTGTTCTCTAACAAAATTATTCACTACTCTCATCACCCATGTACCCCTGATTTGTTAAGCCCTTTAAGTACCAGATTCATGATCTTGTGCCTGTGAGAAGCAGAGGTAGGGAATGGTGCTTCCTGTAATATCTGAACTATTAGATACCCCCAAGCATCCTGATGCCATCTTGGCTCTGATGTATGTGAAAAACTGGTATTGGCCATTGACTGGATTCCAGTAACAAGATCCCTTACTTCTGCCTGCCTGCTCTGTCATCCTCTCCGGGCTCTTCCAGGATAAGCTGACTCTTCCAGTCCCAGGTCACCAGCTCTGTCTCTCCACCTGAGTGCCCAGAGGTACTGAGTCCCTCAGTTGCATGACCAGATCACACCACGCTCTCAGGGCTTCTGGCTGACAGCGGTGGGCACCTCAAGGCTTCACATTCAGGGGAGCTGCCCTATGTTCTGACTTCTCTAGTCTTTGAGTGTGTCAAAAGAGAATGTGTACTCTTGCTAGGCCCACAAAAGGTGGCCATGCCCTGGGCCTGTCCAAGATACCATGGCCCTTTGTGAGTAAATGTGGCCCTGTCCTGACAGCTAGCCCAATGGCCCAAATGCCAAAGCATTGAAAGTACTGCTGTCCTCATGAGTGGTCCTGTGTGATCCTGTATCATGGGATGGGAGGAGGGTCTAGAGCTACTATTCCAAAATGTCGGTTTTCCCTTCATCTTTTCAGGGTTAGAACCACAGATACTTTTCCTACAGTGTGAAGGAAACCTTAGCTTCTAGAACGTTCTGTTGCTGCCACTTGTCAGTGACACAGTGATGTGGTAGGAAAGGTGCCAACCAACTTGGACATGTGCGGTTTCTTCTGGACCATCACTGCCCAATTGTGGCCTTAGTTTCTCTTGGTTTTCTAATATATACAGGCATGTCCTTAGCCCTGCCATCCCCTCTGGAGAAGCTCAGGGTGAGTAGGGAGGTAGCCGAGGGACAAGTGGCATTGCTCATTCATGACCCACCATTTGGGTCCAGGGCGCACCCTCAGTTATGTCTGCTGCTCCCCATATCACTATACCAGCTCAAGTACCAAGGCTGCAGGACCTCAGAGGTCTGGCACATCAGTGCGCTATACATGTTTTGAGTAAATGGTGAGCCATCAGATACTCCTTCCCCAAGACAAGCCTGAGTCCAACCAGGTTGTGCCCTGCAGGTTTGGCAGTGTGTTCCCAAGCCTCAATATGGCGGTGAAACGGCGGGAGCAGGCCTTGCAGGACTACAGGAGGCTACAGGCCAAAGTGGAGAAATATGAGGAAAAGGAGAAGACGGGCCCGGTGCTGGCCAAGCTCCACCAGGTGCAGGGGGAGAAGGGAGTGAGTGGGTAGGGTGGCCAACAGAAGGGATGGGGTAAACAGAGCAGCCATTGCCACAAGGTCCTCCCTTGGGGACCAACAGGACCAGGACATTAGCTGTCTCCATCCACACTCTGCTATCCCCAACAACAGCCTTGATGGCAGGGTCTTCTTCCTCAGGCCCGAGAAGAGCTGCGGCCTGTGCGGGAGGACTTTGAGGCCAAGAACAAACAGCTCCTGGATGAGATGCCACGGTTCTATGGCAGCCGACTCGACTACTTCCAGCCCAGCTTTGAGTCCCTGATCCGGGCACAGGTGAGACCAAGTTCTTCCCTTGGATGATAATCTCTGTAAGCACCCATACAGCAGCGGCCCCTGCCCCAGGCACTGCAAGAATTCATTCATTGCTGCCATCAAGGACCGTGGCACCCCAGTGCTAGAATTTGTTTGACATCTTCCACTACTAAATTCTGTTAGTCCCAGCCCTAGGATGGACAAGGCTCCTTTTTGTTTAACCCTTCATCCCTTGAATTCTGTCACCCACCCTCTCTTAAACAGCAAGAAGCCAGACTGCATCTTCAGCCTGGGTAAGTTCTTTGCAGGGTTGGTTAGGAGGATGAGAGATCTAGAGGCCTCTCTGAGAGGACCCAGCAGGAGACTTCTGTTATTAGGAGACCACAGGGCCTCTTAACTTTGAACTTCTTATGGGGGGACGTGAACCCCAGAGACCTGCTCTGGCTGCTATCTGGGCCACTAGGTATGATGCACCCCCTAGTGGAAAGTCAGGTGGAGTGCAGGCTGGTATGGATTCTGCCTAGTTAGCTGTCCATTTGAACCAGGCAGCCAGAGGGTGGGACACAGGCCAGAGCCCTGTGTCTCCTGCTGCTACCCTAGGACAGACTGGGGTGGTGTGCAGCTCCTGCCCTCCTCACCTCATTCATCTTCAGGCTTTTCAGCTAGGACTGTTCTTCCCACTTGCGAGGTGGGAAGGGCACAGGTACCAGAGCCAAGAACAGGGCTCCTCCATGTGGGCCTCCACTGATCACAGGCGTCCAGCTTCTACTTCACGACCCCAGCACTAAACAGTTGGCCAAGCTAAAGGCTTCCTGCCCCAGGCTCTGCCTGCCTTGTTTCTGGTATTGTTTGGGCTTCTGGCGCCCTCCAGTGTTGAGGATGATTCTTTGTCCCTTCCATAGTCAGAAATACCCAAGAAAAGCCTGGTTCCCACTTCCCAACACCACCCCCACCTCCCCCCACCCCCGTCTTGGGGGAATACCCAAAGCCATGGGGCAGAATGCTTGGTATCAAGAAGTCCAGGCAGAGTTTGGGCAGGAGCCTGCACTTGCTCTTGACCCAAGTCCTCGGTCTGGTGCTCTCTATGTAGTGAGAACAAGCCAGCAGGAGGGAGGGGGGGCTCTTCCACTCCTGTCCCTGCAGGTAAGGGCTTCCCGCCAGCTGCTGCAGCCTCTGCTGGGATTAGATTTAGAGGAGGACCTTGGCCTGCCCTCCCTTGCCATCATGCCTGCTTCTGCCCCCAGTGACCTTTGTCCTCATCCCAGCTCCCAGAAGAAAGCTGCAGGGTGCCCAGGCTGGAACCTTTGAGGGGATTAGGGGTACCCTGTAACCAAGCAGCAGGGTAGCCAAGGCTGTTTACCACCTCCTCTGTGCCAGCCTCCTCCTCACCCGGCTGCTGCTATTAGTCACTAGAGAAGTGAGCATTCCTCGTGACTCACCAAGCAGCATGGCCCAGGCAAAAAATTGGAGCCCCCCAGCACTTGGTCTAGTGGAATCCAGCTGGGGTGTCTGCAGAGACTTCTAGGACACCACTTACCACTGACCTTGCTGCCACACCCACCTTTCCAGTCACCATCTTCCAGGTTCTTCAGCAGGCATCCTCCACAGCCTTAGAGTTGAGATACTTAGAGTATAGAGCACTTTGATGAGTGTGTGCTTCCATCGTGTCAGGAAGTAGAAACTGAGGCAGAAATGGCCTCTGGTCTCTTTGGAGAAGTCCCTGGTGTCCACCATCTGGGGAAACTGCTGTCTCCCCTCCACTCCTGGACTAGCCTCTAGCCTCCCACCCAGTGTCCCCACCACTACGTTGCTGACACTTTTGAGCTGCTCCCACCACCTAACAGGGCAGAAGTAGGGAGGAGTCAAAGATGGGAAGCCATCACCTCTCACTTGACTTCTAGAACCTGCTATCAAGACCTCAGGAGCCAACATCTGCCATGTTCTTTCTTTATGAACAGAAGCCCCTGGTTTCTCTCCTAGCTTAGAACAGGAAACCCACAGTGCACCCCAGCCTGCCTCTCCCAGGCCTGGCCTTGGCCACATACTGGCTACCCTCGAATTCACAGTCCCTTGCCCATTCTAGCTGATGGGAAGGAACCAGGGGTTCAGAGTAGTACCTCTACCTAGTCCTAGGCACTTTTGACTCCCTACCACCCTGTGGTCTTGACAAACCTTTCCCTGCAGTAGACTTGTTCCTCAAAGCCTCAGCTTGGCTCACCCCTCCCTAGGCTGCCAGGTGATAGCGTGACAACAGGGAGGTGATAGGAGAGAAACAGAAACGGGCCCGCGGCAGCCAAGAGACCCAGACCTAGGCCCCACTTGTAACCAGCCGCTGTGCCCAGCAGGTGCTATGTAGAACCCAACTCCAGTCCCTGGCCAACAACTCTTGCCTCCCACCCAGGTCGTGTACTACTCAGAAATGCATAAGATCTTTGGAGACCTGACCCAGCAGCTTGACCAGCCAGGCCACTCGGATGAACAGCGGGAGCGGGAGAATGAGACCAAACTAAGTGAGCTCAGAGCTCTCTCCATCGTGGCTGATGACTGAGCTGTCTCTCAGGAGTCCTCAAGACTCCTTGGGACACAGACAACTTCTCTATAGGCTTTGCCCTTAGCTGGCACGGATTCATGGTTCTCCCATTGGTCAGCAGGTTAGACAGAAATGGCCCCTACTCTGCCTTGCCAGTCATTTGACCTAAATCAGGAGCCACAAACAGGCTACTGTTTCCCCCCATTCACAACACAGGCAAGCAGTGTAAAGAAACCCCAGGGGCTTTTTTACTTCCAGAAGAACCGTCCAGTGTGCTTTGATCTCTGGCCAGAGGGAGCTTCAGCCTTTAGAAGCTGGTCTTCCTAGGCAGCTGAGGGGGTCTGAGCCCTGCTTGCATGGTGGGTACATCTACCTCCAGATAACTACCCTAGGGAACCCACCAGACCCTCATGGCTCATTTCTGACTCATGTTGGGTAAGGCACAGTGCCCCTGGGAGCAAGAGAGCAGTATCTTCCAGCTGTGATGGACCCCTAATGCCATCACAACCAAAACTGGTACCCTGCTGATCCAGTACAAGCACAAGCCCCAGGTGTTCAGCTTTCCCTAGAACTGTGACTACTTTCAACTGTCTGCTATACAGAATGTCAAATGTTGATACACTGACCTCAAGGCTTGTGTCTCACCTGTTGGAATGTTATTTTTTCAAGTAAAGTTTCCAATAAAACACTTAGTGTGCTGTAACTGACACCATGGAGAGTCGCCACAGCTTGCCAGAGCCTTAGCAGAGGGCCTTCAGCCAAATGCGACCTCACTACCTACCTTCTGGAGAGAACTGGGGACTAGCAGGCTAGGAGGGCAAAGGCAGCTTGGAAGAAGACTAGGGAGAGCTACAAGGACACATTTGGTTTGTTTTTTACTTTGGTTTATTTAAAAAACAAAAAGAAAAAAAAAAAACTTTATATACAAAGTCAAACTGAAACCACAGATTATGGAAAGAGGCGAGAATTATGGGTAACAGGGAAAAAGGCTGGGCCAGAGCCAATACCACATTCTGAACACAAGAGCTAGAGAAAGGTGCTGGTTTCTTCTGGCAAGTCTGGGGTGGCTGGAACACAGTGTTCTCTTGGCAACCTTGACCCAACACTGAGCTTCCCAGCACAGGCTCCATTACCTCAGGGCCACTGGAGCCTCCAGGAGTGCACACCTGGAACCTATAAGGACTTGTGCTGTAAGGGTTTCTCAGCCCACACCAGGCTCCACGACTATTCCTTCCACGTGTTGGCATCAGACCTTGTCCTAGGCTGGAAAAGCCTTTTCCTCCCATCTCACTCTACACTGGATGAGGACAGGAGATAGCACAAGACTACAAGGGCCCTGGGAGAAATTCCAAGGTTGAGGGCAAAATGACATTGTAGGGGTGCAAAGATGTTTTTAGTTGTAGCTGGAACTGGGGTTCCTCACACATCCATCCACATAGCACGGACCCCTCCCCGATGGCTTGACATCCCCTGCAGAGGCTGAGCACAGAGCTCAGCCGCCCCTGCCTGTGGCTCCCAGGCCCTGCTCCAGCTGCTTTCTGGTACCAAAAGGGCTCTAATGTCACCAGGCTCCATCGCAGAACTCATAGGAGGACAGCCTCTCAGTTGCTAGGTGCTGGTTCCTCCTTCTCTACCCAGCTGTCAGCCTGTATGAGCACATGTGACAAGGATGAGAATTCTGGCCAACTGAGGACAGCCCCCCACTTCCTGCCTCTAGGGTCCATAGCACTGCGGTACTGGGCAGATAGAGGACCACCAGCACAGCAAGGAAGGGGCTGGCTATTTCCTAGACCACTCTCCGTATGATGGCTAGGTCTCCTCTGGGGTTCTTGTGCCTTCACAAAAAGGCGCTACGACTTCCCTTGCCCACCCGCCTCACCTTTTCAACCATCCGCTGCATCTCAAGGTGCAGTGGGGTCAGGCGCCTGCGGAAGTCCTGCAGCAGCCGCTGAAGCTGGTTCTTCTGTCGTTCCACTGTCCTGGCTGTCTCCTCTGCTTCAGCCAGCCGGCCCCGCAGCTCCTGCATCTCTGCTGCCAGTGTCTTATTTGTCACTTCAGTAGCTGAGAAACGGTTATGGCTCTCCTCTACAAGGTAGATAAGGACATGCCAGAAAAACTGCTGCTCAGTCAAGAACTGGACAAGGCCCCGAGACTCTAAGGAGGAGGGCGTCTCCCAGACACCACTCCCACGTCCCGTGGTCCACTTACCAAGCTTCAGTTCCAGTGTGTGAATCTTGTTCTCCAGATAGAGGCGGCCACTGTCTTGCTGCTCTGCACGCTGTAGCAGGCTCCCCACATTGATGAGGCTGCCATTGTGGGGCACCAGGCCTTTGTGTTCTGTAGGGGCAGCACCTGGCTTTGCACTCTTCCCTGAAGGAGGCAGCAGATCCAGGTTTCCTAGAGGAGATACACATGATCTCAGGAGGACAAAGGAGCCTACCAAGGCTCTGCTCCCTCTGGGCCACCGAGCACAAAACATACCAAAGAGCAGCTCCTCCGGAAGCCCACCATCCACCATCTCCGGACGGCTATACTGAAGGCTCCGGTACTGGCAAATATTCTGCGTCACCACCCTACTGACCAGTTGCTTGGCCTACAGAAAACACAACAGGTCATCTACTAGTCATACACCTGCCCTAGAAGGGCCCAGAATGCAGCAAGAGCTCTGAAGAGGTCTGGGCCACCACAGAGAAGCACTCCAGAAGGACAAGTGTGGCATAAAAGAAGCTACCTGCTCAGCACTGAGCTGGATTCCCAATGTGAGAAGGACCCTCTCCAAGTCTCGCCGGTGTAAGTAGCCACACCAGTTGGCATCAAAAAACACAAAAGCCAGAAGGCAGTCCAGGGGGAGCACAGCTGAGGGGTCCAGCTCCTTGGGCTACAAAGGAAGCAAAGAAGTAGGCTCTACAAACAGTTCTCAAGGCTAAAGGGCACAGGGCGTAATAGCCTGTCACAGCCAGGGGCTGAGCTGATAGCACCAGGCAGCCCTCCATATAAGTGGAGGCCCAGTGGGGCTACAGGCCTCTGGGCACATTCCCAAAAGAACCTGGTATGCTCCCTCATTGGATCCTTCTCTGATTCACCCTGACAGGGAGAGCGAAGCGTTCTCCAAGAACCACAGCTGGTCTCTGGTCAAGAGAAGAGGTCACTAGTAGGCAACCCTCTCCCAGGAAGGGCCAAGCTTCCCACCACCAAGGCATAGCAAGGAGACAAGGTCTCACCATATCCTGAAGAGAGGAATATTCCATCTCTGATTGGTTTGAAGCAACAGAATGGACTTCTGTGTCCTCAAGCTTTGCTCCTGCTACAGAAATCCCAAGCTCAACATGCTGCAAGGATGACACAGCCCACAGCCTTAAGAGGAAACTACCAGCCCCAGACAACCACCACCCAGAGCCTACAACCCGCCACCCAGACACACCAAACTCCTCCTCGCCATCATCCCTCAGAAGCAGCAGGTCTGGGTCCAAGGCCATCTCACATAGGTCCTCAGCTGCCTCACCCCGGGGCTTCTCTTCCTCTTCTCCCCCAGAAGAGGGTGGTTTGGACAGAAGCCCATCCTCCTTCTAGGGAAGCAGACAGAGGTATGAGGAGGAGCAGCAGGATTCTTGTAATGGTAATAGTAACAGTTGCTAACACTCAAGTCCGGCTGTGGGCCAGGCACTGTGTGGCCTACCACATGCTTTGCGGATATTCAACCACTCTGGTATTCAGATCATAGCAGGAGCAATCTAGACACTTGGGGTATTTCTCAGCAGTCAGTTCTAGTTCCAGAGGCAATTGTGTGTACGTGAGAGGTTTTGGGCAAGAAGCCAACCTACATTTTAGAAATGGTTAAAAACTAGTTTGTCCAGCTAACTATCAGGCACCCAAAAGCCATACCTCCCAAGCATTCTGACTCTGACTGGCATTTCTATGCTGCCATGGCTTATCAGCTACACTTCCCTCTGTCTTCTGGGCCACCTCCCTTACCCTGGGTATACTACTATCTGTGTGGCCACATACAGGGGATTCATCTTCCTGGTCCTTAGTCCACCTCACCTTCCAAGAGTGGGCAACATGAGGGAGCAGTGCAACCAGACATTCAAAGTACTAGTGCCTGGCACATGTGAGGGACTCAGATCATGGTAAGCATTAGGATATGTGAGTTGAGGCCAGCCCAGGCCTGACAGTGGTACTCACCAGTGCTGTGTCTGACTCGGCAGCTGTGCCCTCATTCTGTACCTCATCCTTGGATTCCTTGGCCACCTCCTCTTTGCCAGCTTCCTCCTCTTTGACCACTTCCTCCTTGGCTGCCTCCTCCTTCTCAGGTTCAGGAGGAGACACAACTTTTTCAGGAAGGCTCAGCAGCATCTTATAAATCCTATACCCAAAATCCCTTTGCAGCATCTCTAGAAACAGCTCAGCCAGCACCACCACCTGTTGGACGAGGCACAGGGGCCATGGCATCAGGGACAAAAGGGAATAGGCCATGCTATTGTGTATCCCATTCATGACCTCCCTCCTGCACGTGCCTCAAAAGAGATCCTTTCTTTTGGCCTCCGATCCTCCACAATCCCATGGAGAGACAGGTTAACACAGCCAGGATGTGCCATGACAGCAGGTTCTAGAGGAGGTGGAGGGGCCTCTGGAAGATCGGTGTCCACGTCCTGCTGTGTGATAGCCTCCACAGTCTCTGCATTCTGTTTAGAAGTGTCTGCTTGCTCTCCATCTGGGAACTGTTCAGTAGACTCTGCTTCCTATAACAATAGCTGAAATGTGACCTGGGCATCTACTTCTTTTTTTTTTTTAGACAGAGGCTCATGTAGTCCAGGCTAGCCTCAGACTTACTATATAGGTAAGGATGACCTTGAATTCCTGATCTCACCTCCATCTCCCAAGTGGTAAAATTATAAGCTTGTGCCACCATGCCCACCTCCCCTGCATCTTCCTAAGGCCCAGCCTCACCCCTGATGCCTCTTGGGGTTGGGGATCTGCCTCTGCAGCTTTCTGCTGGCACAGTGCCTCCCACTCCTCCAAAGTGGGCATGATGGTCCAGACGTCTGGCAGGTATACCACCACTGTGTGCAGCCGCCGGGGTGGCCCCAGCTGCAAGTACTGAAACTCGGCAAAGCGCCACCTGTTCACAGCAAAAGGAAGCCCTCAATTGTGACACATTCATAGGTGCCCCACTCACAGACAAATACCTCCGTTTCCAATCAGCACTCCATGCGCACATGCTGCATGCCAAGCCATGAGTACAAACATAAAAGCCACACGCCAAGGCCTCAATGGTTAGGCAACAGGGAGACGCAGCAAGCAGACAGCAACTGTAGGAGCACTAAGGCAGTAAAGAGTAGAGGGAGTGGCTTGGGGAGTCAGCTGATCTTCAGTACCCCACCTGGGTTCTCAGTCATCTATGAGCAGTTGGGAGATGGGGGGAGGTTATGAGCTATGGCGGGGGAGAACCCAGGCCAAAGGGCAGGTGCCAGGCCTCCTGACACCCCACAGCGAGTTGGCCACATAGGGAAGGCCACTCACCACTTGGTGCAGGTGCTCAAGTCAATGCCAGTCTGGGCTTGTGCACAGCGGATGGCTGTGCGCACCAGCACCTGCGGGTCAGCCTGGGGGTCGAGGCCGTCCAGAGAAGGAGACCACTCACCCCCAACCAGCACTGCCTCTTCTTCTTTCCGGCCCAGCAAAAACTGCAGAGAGATTGGGGATAACGAA